CCAAATATAGTTGACCTATTGCTTATAGTATTAGAAAAACAGACCAAAACACAAAAACTTAACATTGACCAATGAACCATGAAAATAGGTCAAGGACAAATGACACCTGCCAGACAGACATGTACACCTTACAATCATTCCATACACCAAATATAGTTGACCAATGGCTTATAGTATTAGAAAAACAGACCAAAACACAAAAACCAAACATTGACCAATGAACCGTGAAAATGAGGTCAAGGTCAGATGAAACCTGCCAGACTGACATGTATCCCTTATAATCATTCCATACACTACATATAGCTGACCTACTGCTTGTAGTATCTGAGAAACGGACCTAATCACGTAACTTTAACCTTGATCACTGATCCATGAAATGAAGCTGAGGTCAGGTGAACCCTGTCTGATGGACATGTAGACGTTGCAAGGAACCCATATACCAAATATAGTTATCCTATTACTCATAATAAGTGAGAAATTTACATAACAAAAAAACTAAACTTTTTTTTCAAGCAGTCGCTGAACCATGAAAATAAGGTCAAGGACATTGGACATATGACAGACGGAAAGTTCGTAACATAAGGTATCTGCATACAAAGTATGAAGCATCCAGGTCTTCTACCTTCTGAAATATAAAGCTTTATACAAATAGTTTACGCCGCCGCCGCCGGATAGTAATACCTATGTCTCACTTTCTGCGACTTTCGTCGCAGGCGAGACAAAAATGAGAACTGACACAAGGTGCGTCGAAAGCAAAGCTTCCAAAAAATATTTGTGCCAGCCAGACATTTTTTGTCTTATCCTGATTTTAATCCCTTAAGACTAAGTTACTAAAAAGGCAATCATGCTAATCAGTTGGGCATTATATAAACAATGATTAACATAAACACTATATTAAACTTGACTTTTGATACAAAATGGATGTACTGATGTAAACTGTTAATTTGACAGTGCATCATTTGAAGTGTGCAACAATAGCATACTAATATCTGCCTTATATTCTTTATTTGTGCAAAATTACGTCGTCAAAATCTTTACTTTCGTTTTTTTAAAGGCACATTTTCTTATAAGGGATGTTGACTTGACAATGGTAAAACACAGACCAGAGACGGATACGTAAAATCTGTGTATGTTTACAGAGTACAATGAGCTTTAGTAGCTCTTTCCATGCTGTTTCTTCAAGAAAATACTTGAAATGAATGTTAGTTAAAGGTATCGACTCGAAAGGGTAAGCGTCTCCTGTTCTGCATGCATTATCCAACATCTTAATCCACACTCAAGTCAGAATGTCCCACTCTGAAAAGACCTAATCATTAAATTTACAGATCAGACTACTATTCACCTATCTGAGAATCTAATAAGAAAAAATGTTGCCAGTGAGTTAAACCAAGACACATTTCATCGGTCAACCAATTTGTGATGGTGATGATAAAACTTAGGAAGTGTTGATTTGACTCCAAGCACTGAAATGAACTAGCTTCTGTGTACTAGAAGGGGTTGAATTATAAGAGGACATGTCTGAGGTGCCAAACCAAGTGAATTACAAAAGATTTTAGTGATGGTCAATTTTATTTTTAAGCATGAAAAAAGCTTCTCTTTTCTATTTTTATTTCATCTGAAATGTTTTAACACACCAGATGCCTTTAATGTATACCAAAATTTCAAATATCAAACTAACATTTTAATAATTTCATAGCAACAATAAAAGAAGAATGTGTCTGAGGACATGAATGCCCCTGATCAAGCTTGCTTATAATATGTGAAAATACTTTCGCACGGAAGAACTGATGGAAAGACGGACAGACGGTCAAGCGTAACATTTATTGCCCCCTTCGCCTAGCAGCAGGGTCATAAAAAATGTGTGAGCCTTCAATTGGCGTCTCCAAATATAATTGATTGATTGGTGATTGCTTTAAGCAGCATATAAAAATATTAACATAGCAGGAGTACAACTTCATGTCCTGCAGAAATCTATGAAGTTTTGGTGGAATTCTGTAAAGTTGTTTTCAAGTAGTTGCATATCAACACTACAAAAAACAGTCAAAAATTGATTAAGTTCAAGATTTTAACTTTTGGCAGTCCTCAAGGAGTCAATTACTTGCCAAAGTAAATAATTACATTTCAATTACATTGATTTTTAAAATGTAATTAATTACATCACAATTACATTGATTTTCAAATGTAATTAATTACATCACAATTACATTGATTTTCAAATGTAATTAATTACATCACAATTACATTGATTTTCAAATGTAATTAATTACATCACAATTACGTTGCCAAATCTTTTGCTGATCTAAATTTTTTCTTCTCATTACCCTTGATAAGTATAAGTAAAATCCAACAACAACTAAAACCGCCTATAATGTTCTTTTTTTGTTGACAATGCTAATATGTGTATTTCTTTTGTTAAAGACATTTGAACCTTCCATTATAATTTTTATGCAATGTACTTTATTAACTGTGTATGACTTCCTGTAAAGACATGTGCCCTCAAGACATAAATTTTATGACGACCTTGTTCGTTCACCTCTAATGTTTACATTGACAGAATTAACAATTCATCATGACATTTTAGAAAACTATATAAAACAGAACTTTAACCGAAAAAAAGAAACGGAAATGACCAGGGGAAGAATCAAAACTCTCAAGTTGTAATTAGGCTGAGAAAATCATAAAAATTGAAAAAGACAAAAAGAAAAACAACAGAATACTACATAAAAACAACAGACTGAGCAACATTTAACGCCACAAAAAACTGTGGGTGATTTAGAAGTGAAGAACCTTGAAATGTAGGTCAATGTGACTTATCTTTGAATAGAAGTATTTATACTCCCTATGATGGGCCCCTATCCCTAGTTTTGATAACTTATGGTCACTTAATATCTTTAGCAGAACACAACCTAATATATGACTGAACCATATTCCACTATCTACTGCTCGCTAATGATATTCCTACTTTAAGAATTCAGTAAACAGAAAATTAATGAGTGATGAAACTGAACACATATCACATGGTAAATATAAAAATAAGATGTGGTATGATTGCCAATGAGACAACTTTTCACAAGAGACCAAATGACACAGAAATTAACAAAGCATGGTCACATGGAGCCGGATAACAAATTTCAAGTAGCTCTGATTTGTATTTCCTGAGAAAATTTCAATGGAATTTCAAGGGCTGACAGACGGACAGACAGAGGTAAAACAGTATACCCTCCTCCTTTTGGGAAGAGGTATAATAAAGCACAGGAGATTAGTACCCATATCATGTATTTCTAAGTGTGTTATAAATTTGTTTATATCCTTCCCCTATTAAAGTCCTTAAAATGGATTTTACTATCAAGGGTGTCACAGAGCACAATTGGTCAAAGTAGTTGGTCAACATCTATAATGTCAGGACATTCAGCCTATCACGTCACCCCTAGTCTTGGGGTTTAAGGTCTTGACCTTCTCTTACAGAGAAAAAAATGTGATTCATGTGATGTACTAGTTTTTCTTGCAGAATGTTGGCATAGTTCTTTTTAAATCACCATGAATTTAAGTCATTTTAAACTCACATTTCATTATGTAGAAGGAAAAAATTAATCGGGAAACAAATATAACAAAATTTTCTACTTTCTGTTTCAATTCTGAGATAAAGTGTCATAAATTGAACACCAAATCAATAAATAACAAGTTATTGTCTGCGAACTAAAATGTCTTTGGACGCAATGGCAGACATGGCAATAACATAATATGGACGCAAAAAATTTTGTAGTCGTATAAAAAAACAAGTGAGATGCTTCTCTTCAATTGATATAAACTATTTACATAAAATGTCTTTCAATGAAATGATTGGACTATTCTACACCATGGGGAAAGTATTCTTTATGCACTATTTTCTATTCATTTAGTCCTTAAACTATTTTTTGAATACAACGAACTAAATCATGAAAAATTTACAGGTCCAAACTGATTTTTTCAGGGCATGGGAAAGAAGACCAGTGCAAGTTTTTCATATTGGATATATTATTATCACTTCTTTTTAAAACAAATAGCTCATTATAGTTTATATTTCTGCTTAAAATATCTATACAAGGAAGTGTGGGTAGCTGTGTGTGTGACCTACTGTAAATTCAGAAATTATTGCGTGCATTTATTATTGCGATTTTTGAAGAATTAACAAAAATGCGAGTTTAATTATTGCGATTTTAGGAAAAGCTACATACAGATATATGTATTTGATATCAGAGTGCGAGTTCTTATTATTACCATACTCAAGTAGTCGCGTTATTCGCATTAATAAAAACTTCGCAATAATTTCTGAATTTACAGTATCTATTACAATACAAAAAGAATGTTTACCATAATGGTCAGATTTTGTATGTGATAATTACAATTCTATGTTGTTTTAATCTTACAGATGTCATATAATGTATATGATAAAAATATGTTTTTTTTCACAATTTTGGTCTTGTCTAATTCAAACAAGACCAATACCGTGCCTAGACCATCGTCACTGCTTGTAATTGATTGGTGTAACATGGATACTGAAGCATATCTGATCAATATCTAAAATCATTGAAGCAAAGAAAACATGAATGAAAATTTTCAATGTACCATGAGTGTTGCCAAATTTCTTACTATCCGCAAACAGGAAGTGGCTGGAACAGTGGATTCAAAAATTACATACAAGTTAAACTCAACATTATCAAGCTGCAGACCAAATAAAACCATTCCCATTCATAGAAGCCAAAATAAACTTTAACAAAAGATCATCCAAGGTCAAAAACTTGATTTATTTATGTTTTATTTAGCTCTGACTGCTTATTATGGAAAACTATGATCAGAAATTATCCTTGAAAATTAAAATACTTTTAATTTATTGTCTACACTATCACTTTTCACTGGACATAAAAGCTACCTACAAACAAATCAAAGTGTGGTCCGTTTACCTTGTATAGTCTAAGGGAGATAATCCTGATTTGATTGAAATGTATAAATTCTTAACTTACCTTGTAGATTTCTCAAATGACTGTGCTGTAAAAAAAAATTAAAAAAGAATTTGAAATTACAGGAATTTTATCAAATCTGTACAGTCAGGAATCTGATGTTCAGTAGTTGTCGTTTGTTGATGTTGTTCATAAGTGTTTCTCGTTTCTCGTTTTTTATATAGATTAGACCGTTGGTTTTCCCGTTTTGAATGGTTTTACACTAGTAATTTTTGGGGTCCTTTATAGCTTGCTGTTCGGTGTGAGCATAGGCTCTGTGTTGAAGACCGTACTTTAACCTATAATGGTTTACTCCACCAATTTAACTGACAGCCATGACATAGCCAAGGTAATTGAAAGTGGTGTTTATAAATAACAAAAAAATGTTTATATCATAATTCGCATATCCCTCTTCTGATTCAAATTATTTAAATAAATATTTTTATTGAAAGATAGATCCATGCTCTTACTTTAAAGCTACATTTGAAATTTCATATTTGTGACATTAAGTGACTGTATATTCAGAAATTTTTGTGATGTTTTTCATTATTGCAAAAATAAAAGGTAGCTAAATAAAATTTAATAGCATTAACTTAATGCAGCATTTCCTGACATTGTTGATAACATTTCTTTCATTTTGTCCATTGTTTATCAACTGCTTTAATCAAAGCAATCAGAAATTTCTGAAACTACAGTTTAGTCTCCTATTTATTTCTTAGGAATAGTCAGAAATGAATGGTCTACTGTTTGACAAGGGAACAGGAAATAACCTAAAAAAATATTTAGTCAGAGAGGCGTATGATATTTTCTTTAAATATTGAGAAATTAAAGGGAATACATTTTTTCAGTTCTACTATTCTGAAGGTGAATTGAATAGGATATAGTAAGAGGAGT